ACCAATCGTGACGATTTACCGTGATAATTGAAGCATTTGGCTGTACAGGCACCTGGGAAAAGAGGTAGTTGGAGGTTATTTTGACGCAATGGTTTCAAAAATTTATATAAGTATAAAAAATAACATGTAAGTGCATATTGGCGAACAGGCGTTCATACGAATTTCAAGAGGCTCTATGTTACTTAAAAAGCTCATAATATGTTGAAAAATAGTTGGTGTAAGAAACACTTTCACGTACAGCATCAGTAATACAAAAAAATCCACGGAATACACGCAAAAAACATAAAAAGAGTTCTTCAAAAATAGCACTTTTAAAAAAAGTACGAAAAAAATAAGACACGAGACACGCTACTACTGTATTTGTCATGATAACCGTACTACCATCGCTACTTTGGTGGCTAATAATGTAACTCTTACCCTCTACAATGGTATATATATCTTCTTATATTAAACAGTTAAATGTGTATGACATTCCACACAATCCTTCCACTACGTACCTTATTTAAAGGGAAAATTTATCTTATTTCTACGTTATTTTAACCCAATAAATAAATATTTTATCAAGCCACCCACTACTCCCACAACCCTTGCACTGTCCCTCGCACGATTTTTCTTGCCTCCCACCACCCCTCACTGCCCCCCATACATTTTTTTGTGGGTTTTAATGCACTTCTATTGCCTGCGTAGAGTTTTATTATAATTTGGCTATTAAATTAGACCTGGTCATAAAAAAATTTGAAGTACTGTGATGGAACTTTTTTTATTTATTAAGTTCATTACTCACATTTTGTTTACTCCTGTTACGAACTGTTCTGCATTGCTTACCACGGATGAATGAAGCTGAAATTTTTTTAACAACCATTTTTAACTTACGTAAAAGGTATTTATATATTATGTAATTATTATTTTTAACTATCTATTTTTAAAACATGTTTTATTGTTCCATCTATATTGTTTTTTCATTCATATACGTTGTACCTGTTTCATCAGCTGCTACTTATAAGTGTTAACATAACTCATTCAATTGAAATTACCGCTTTATTGCTTCCACATGAATCTGCAACACGTCACTGCATGCGAACATTCATGAGCTATAGTCATAGGAGATTTGTAAAACCAACGCTGATAATCTTACGTACTAAGGGTAACACCGAGTGTTGTCATCAGATACCGAATGCATTTAATATCATGCAATGTTCAGAGAAGTATTGTGGAATAAAATCTATTTTGTATGAAAAACACGTTAATGTACCAAACATCTGACTGCAGAAACACAATTTATACTTACAGAAATTTTATGGATTGTCTCTCTAAGCATCATTTGTTTGAAATAAAAGATATTCTAATGTCACCCTCAGTAGATATTTTCAGCCAAGATTTGATTAATTTTTATATGGCAATCGGAAAAGAGACGTTAAAAACCATAATGTTTTTAACTCGTTTTTTAGGAACCAAGTGACGATGCAAGCTCGTATCAGCTAAAAAAAAAAAAAACTAAATATGAGGTTAAGTGTGATTTTTAAGTTAAAAAATTTCGCAATTAATTCTTTCAGAAATTCTGCAATCAATTTTGAATATAATGCAACAAATTGGTTATTACACTTTTTTTATATTTTTAGAAATTGACAATCAACGCACAAAGAATCCATTTCGTAATACACACAAAACAATACATATATATGGGGAGAATCACGTCAACTGTCCCAGCGCCGCGGTGGACGGCCCGCGCGGGCGTCAAACACGACGTTTTCAACTCGTCGTTTCGGTGTCAAAACTTTGATAAAAAAATTATCTAAAAGCATATTCTTACGTATTTTTTCCTCAGCTTTCCAGTGGTGGCATCAGTTTTTCGAAAACTTGCTCCCATGACCTCGAAAAATGCACTTGTTTGAAAAACACGTTTTATCTCCATGATCTTCAACTTTTGGAATTTTTTTGATAGTCTAGATCGAAAGATGAGACATTTTTACGTAGATATCGACAATAAAAAAAGAGGGATTTTTCGTTTTTATAACGTATTTAAACGACGAACGAGACGATGCGAGCCGCGGCGGCCGGGCCATGCGCGGCAGCAGCGCGTCCTCCGTTTGTCATCTGCTACGGTGAGTCTGTTTGGCTACATAATATATAATGTAGTAGTGGCGATGTAAACAACAATTAGTTAACCAGGGCTTACAATGGATAAATAATAAATGTTTTGATAAAATTTATTCATAAATATACAACAATTTTATAATAAAGAAAAAATAATGATTAATATTGATTAAATATTAGATATTTACATAAATAAAGCAAAAAATAAAAACAAATTTGTTTTACTTCGTTCTCTTTTTCTTTTTAGGCATGGTAATCGAAGTGACACTTGTTTTACGTTCTTTCAGTTTCGGAAAAATTTCATACTGGTTACTGAAAGAAGTTTTCTTCAACATTAATATTTTATATTCTTTTTTTTTTATTGTTGATATCTACGTAAAAATGTCTCATCTTTCGATCTAGACTATCAAAAAAATTCCAAAAGTTGAAGATCATGGAGATAAAACGTGTTTTTCAAACAACTGCATTTTTCGAGGTTATGGGAGCAAATTTTCGAAAAACTAATGCCACTACTGGAAAGCTGAGGAAAAAATACGTAAGGATATGTTTTTAGATAATTTTTTTATCAAAGTTTTGACACCGAAACGACGAGTTGAAAACGTCGTGTTTGACGCCCGCGCGGGCCGTCCACCGCGGCGCTGGGACAGTTGACGTGATTCTCCCCATATACACTATTTCAACACACACATGTATTCTTACAACAAGGCTAGCCGCATTATTTGTCAGCATGTAACGTGACGTATAGGCTCTACTTGCCATTTGAGCTTGTCTATTTTTATATAACATCTTGTATAAATTTGGCAAATGAATTGCGTTTGTACTCAGAGTATAATTCTTTCGTATCAACCCGTGATGTAACAATGTTAAAGAAACATAAAGCACTGTTTTTTTTTAATTACAGAGTAGTTTTCTATATGGCATTTGTAACTTTGAGAGATCGGTCTGTAAAATTAGTTTTTTATATAGAAAATGTATCCAACTGTCATGCAACTCTAATAATGCGGGATTGACCTTACTTAATAAGAAGTAATAAAAAATACTATTATTCCACGTCTTTCACTATAATCTTACTATTTTAACACAAAAACTTTTTAATAATTAAGTTCACTATATGAATATCATAAATCTAATTACTACTACCCGATATTTTTTTCATGAAAGTAGCATGGACTTGGATTATTTTTTAAAGTGAGGACATTGCTGAAAAAATTTTAAACTAAAGATTTTAAAAAGACATTTTTCTTTTTTTTGTTCAAAATTTATTGGAAAACTGTATGAAACAATGTGATGTACAAAGGGCCAGCCCAAGGTAGGAATTTCCCGCAGGTAAATAAGCCAAAGCTCTTTTCCTTCTCTATTTCTCTCTCATCATCTTGATCTTTCACTTGGTGGTAATGTCTCCCACATGGTGGCCATGCGGAGAGGTAGAGATTAGTGATGTCTTATCGTCTCCCTGGTAGCACATCACACACTGATCCCAAGCATCAAAATTTTTTCCATAATTCTTGCTGATCTTGAATTTCTACGTAAAGTTCTTAATTTAGGCTTATTGTATTTCTTATGTCATGTCCTATAGCCTTATGAATATTAGGTTCTCTCATACGTATGAGGAATCGTTGTCCTTTGTAACACGTTAGCCTGGGATTATAACTAACGTGTGTGTTTTACTTTTTTTTTGCTAAAACCTCACTGTAATAGTATTCGGAAGGGGATTGGGTTATTTACAGATGTGTGTAATGCCAATTGCAGCAACCTGCAGTCGAGTGTAGATAATAAAATGGAATAGCTTTTAAATACTTATATACACAATCCAGGTCCCGTCCACTGGTAGCTTCACTTGGCGTCACCCGCACCGAGCGAATATTCTAACACCACCTTCTTAGTTCGATCAAGTATTTTTATTTCTAATTATAAATTCCAATAATCCAATAAATAATACATAAATTCCATAAACAGCCATTTAAATTACAACGATGACGCAGCACACCACAAAGGCGACGGCCCAGCGTCGTGGCTTGCTATAACATGTAAACTTCGTTATAATTGGAATTTTATGTGTATTTACACTCGTGATAGGGGACTCGGGTAGACTCGAATAATTATTAGGGCTGGGGAATATGGGACAACTGCTTTCACACTCCACAACACATATCACCAACACTACGCACAGTCATCTACCAGAAAATCACCGGTGACAATCTTCTCGATCCTCTCGATGATGCTATCTGTATCAGTGGGCACCGGGGAACCTGGGTGGCCGTGAAAGAGCTCGCTGGTGTATGTGTGTGGAATTGGGTCTCGGCACTATTTTTGCACTATAAATCGGCAGGTGAGAGTCTGCTGATGCCGCGCCGCACTACTCTGATGCTAGTCTTGCAGCGAGATCAAGTATCTCCCTTGTCTCACCGTGTAGAAGCACCATATGCTATGCGGCCCACAACACACTATTAGCCAATGCAGCACTACACAGAGGCCACAAATACTGTGATTGCTCCCAGGACACCGACACACTGACAGCTGTCGTTCACAGATCAACTCTCTCAATATCGCGCGCGCACGCACACACACAAACACACACACACACACACATCTCCCCAGGATACAGGTAGGAAGCACAGGAGGGAAGTCAGACTGATTTCTATCGTTACTCTTAACGCTGTGGCCTCCAAGCTTTACACTGGGATTTCATACATTACAGCAAGCCATATGTAGGAGAGAGAGATAGAGCGCTACCTACGAGACTCACTCCATTTGTTGTCAGTGACAAAGCCTCTGTGACGTGTTTGGATTTATATCCGATTCGCCACGTCACACTTTATGTATATGAGGTATGTATACAATGTATAGGTGTGTTCCAATAGAAGTCTTTAAATAATTCGTTTTTCTATAAAATTATGTAAACTTACTTTGATTGGAGCTTTCCTTGTTGTGTTACTAATGAGAAAATTCATTGCAATATCTTCACAATTCATGTGCTCATCAACCCATTTCCTTATGTGTTTTGGTAGTTTTGTTGTGAACACGTAATTCCAGTACTGAAATCAAATGCAAGAACTTTTCAATAAAATTAAATACCAGACCAAATTTTAATGCCTGTTAAATAAGTTTTATAAAGCTTAACTAATAGGGCTTCAATATTAGGACACTCAAGCCTACAATAATTATAATTATCGTAATTATACTTATTCGAAGAATATTTTAATAACACTGTAAATAACACTATTACTTTTTGCAAGTTAGCTTTTTCACTTTAAAACTCATGAGTCACATTTTTAAATTCCAGTTAAATTATGAAAAAAATTATTGAGTACCACAGAATATTCTTTTCATTTTAAGTTTATGTAGAGTCGTAAATATGTCGAAGTTATTCAGTGCAGGGCTTACCTAGTGCATAATTTGTTCAACGAAGAAATCAACCTAGTTTTTTTATTTATAAAGAGTTTTAAGATAAATTGTTGGCTCTTACTCATAAGTTTTATTTTTTAAATGATATTAGTTAAGTATTAATGCCAATACATTTGCTATCTTGTTTATTACAAAGCTAATTTTTGTCAGCCAGAAGCAGTACCCCCCCCCCCCTTTCAGATAGCACTAACTCTTCATAAAATAAAAAATGCTTACTTTTTCAGCTTTTTAAGTATTACCTTCATACGCTGCCCAACCCACCATATTTTTCATTTGATTCTAACAGATCCCTTACCACGCCCATATCACGCTACTGCCACCCCCTTAGCATAATCTTGTGGTTTCTTCGTTCTTTTGAATTCCCTCCCCAATGGCCTACCAAAAATCCATTAACCTCATTAGCACGATCACTATTTATTTACAATACCCAAGCCCTACCTCAGTTTCACTTAGACTACCAGAGCCCCTATATTTTTTTGACTTCCTGATAATCCCTGTCCTTGATTCTATATAAACATAAATTTTATTTTTATTATTTATTATTATCAACCAATTATATTTCGTGAGTGTTGTGTGAAAGGCAGATGTTTGTTACTTTTTTAAATTAAAATTTTTGTTATTATTTAAAGGTGGGGTATTTTCTAAAAGATATCTTTTACAATATGCCATGATAGTTTTGCAGCTCGCACATCATATAAAAGCTCTTCACTGCCTGAATGCTAATAAGCATCGTAGATAAATTTCCTTTCTACTATTTTTTATATAGTTCTGCTTAAATCAATTAAAAGTGCAATTCTATGTGTTAAAATTATTAACAAGTATAATTATACCATCAATTTTCTACTTTTAAGTTGAAAGTTTTAATGATACGTGGAATTCTTATAGTTTTAATAGGTTTGCAAAAATCTGTATGATTGAAAAGAGAATTAATGTTGAACAAGAAATTCAGTGTTTGAATCATTAAATAAGAAAATAATTAACAAAATGCATATCATGTCGTTGTATTATTTTGAATATTAAAACGTTTTTTTTATCTTTATAAACTACTTGATGCTGCCATTATTCGAAAAAAAAACCCAAATTAAGTTATGTTAGTCAATACTACTTAAAAGTCCACTATTTTCGATACTTCTACTTGTAAAAAATTGCTTGAAGTATGCTTTGAATTTAATCGTGTTGCTAAGGCAGTATATATCTCACTATGAATAGCATAAATTTATGTAGAGATGTTATTTATAAAAATTTAAATGTTATAACTTATAAATAGTTACAGGAAATGCTAATTGGAAAAGTGTTGTTTTTTATAAAATATGGAAGACGATGAAATAACAGTATTTCCAGTTTTTTGGGAATAAACGCCCGGTTTTTTATTTTTTTCTAACAGTAATAATTTCAGCTTAAATGTAGTACTTTAAGTACTTAATTTATCATTCGAAGTCTTATTCCATTACACAATCCATTACAAGTATGTAACTTTCCAATCAACATAACAATATCATTTATTTTGAAGCTTAGTTTCTTGTGTGAAATTTAAATATTCTGTCTAAGAATGTATGTATTCATCGACATCATTCTTACAAGTTTTATAAATATTTTAATAAGTTGCATTCTTAACACTGCAATGGAATATGACTGTTTTTAGCAGTTTAGCAAAAAAAACAATCTTTGTTAAATATGTAAATTTATCGTGGAAAATCGAAAGGTGTTGGTTATTGATAAATTATTAATACTATTAAAAAGATCTGTACACATATTATAAAATTTTAATTTTTTAGGAATTGAAAAAAAATTGACTTTACTTACTTAAGTTTTCAACAGAAATAATAGAAATTATGCATTTTTAAATAATAGTTTTTAACTTTTAAATTTTCAACAAAAGCTGTAGATAACATACTCGAATGATTTCTTGAACCATTCTGATTTTTTACGTATTTCTTGCTATAGGAGAAAATTGATAAAAGTTTTTGCCCAGATCTGTTAATGTCCCATAAAATTTATTAAATTAAAAAATATTTTCTTTGCATTTTCTAAGGCTTTTTTACATATTACTAATGTGTCTTATGTGTCATTCCAAATCATAACAATATCAGCCCCAGATTATTTATTTTGTCCAATTGTGGTTTTAATAATATCTTTAACTACACTCTAGCTTAAGGAAATCTAGAAGTCCTATGTAATATTCTTTTAGGAACTGAGATAGTAGAAATGATAGTCCAGGCAATCGGTGAAACATTTTCGATCTACGGTATAAAATAATAAATAAAGATCTTGTACCAAAATATCTCACCACAAAATCCTCCTGAATCCTAAACTAATGCAGTTGAAAGAATTGCTAAACAGCTTTTTATTAATCATTATTAAATCATACTGACAAAAAATTTTTGTAAGAAAACGTTTTAGGCCTAGGTAATCCAAAATCATTACTAAAAAAATAATCGCTAATGAGAAATTTTTTTGAGGTATCATAAAACTTTATAATAATTCCGTAATAAATGTACATCTTTTTTGATCCCAATTAGTTTTTATATTTTTACGTCCCTTTTACTGGGTTAAGTGTTTGTTTCCCTCCTCAGCCACCTCAACCCCCCTTATAATTTATAAGAACCCCCTTACCCTCTCATAAATAACGAAAAATTCTGTTGTTTCTTACGCCATTTATATGAAGTTAAATTTTAAGTTGTTAAAACAAAAAATTATGTATTATACTAAATGTAAAATTTGAGGAACCTTATATGTATATATATATGTATATATATATGTGTGTGTGTGTGTGTGTGTGTGTGTGTGTCTTTCTGTACCGTATCATAACTTTAGAAGGTCATTCCACACAGCCCCCCAACCCCCTTCAGAACGCCTCTAAACAAGTTGAAATTCTTTTAGTGCTTACATGATTTTTATTGGGTTAAATTTTTTTTGCCCTAAGCAAACTTGTGATTTTTAAGTCACTCTTTAGCTTTCTACACCTTCTTAGCTTTTTCTCACACCCAATGTTTATTAGTATTTTTTCCAATTATTGCATTATTAAAAATGTACTAAAACGTGACATAATATTATTATACTTAATCAAAGGACAACAAATTAGCTCGTAGAATATTCAAGATATTGACCTGCTTGTAGCCCAATTCACCAAAGAAAGACATAAATTCTCTTGTCGAATATTTTAATAAAATTTTCTCTTCTGTCTAGAGCCTAGACCATGTGCAACCTTAATTGAAAGAAAAAATTTCATTTAATAAAAATTTTGCATTATTAAAAAACTTTAACGTAGATATCATTTTAATCTATCTGTTCTTATGTTGTAATGACATGCTGCCATATTGAAAATGAAACGTTCAAAAGTGAATTGATAAATTAGAAAAAAAATTTAATCAAGGATATTTAATAAAACTAAAAAAAAGACGTAAAAAAGTTTTTCTCGTTTAAAATCTAGTATAATTGTTGTTTCAGTGATTGTAAAAATAATTGTATTAACTTTAAAATATTTACAAAAAATTGTTTTATTATTTTAAAAGATAATATTTGAAAACTTATTTAATGAATCGTATACATTGACGTTTTATCCAAATCATCTGCGCAATGAAGTATTAAATCACGTACAATTCTTTATCTTTGCAAATGAAAAATGTATGAAAATTAAATTATTTTATTTATTTTTACGTTAGCATTACCGTTAGCAAGGTACCTTGGTACTGGCAGCATAAACGGAATACAACCTTTTACTAGCAAACAAAGTCCACTCATAGTCTACTGCTACAAATCCTATAAACCGAGCCATAGGCATTTATTAGTTTATGTCTTTAACGTTTGCGGCGCGTATTTACAATTTTACTGAGATTCGCTGTAAAGATGAGCTAGAATCATCACTCACTTGCATAAATCTTGATTAATTTTTATTGTCAATACTTGAGAAAAACTCACACAGATTTATCTCCTACTGTAAATTTCGATTTGAGTAATTCAGTAGAAGTAAAGAGAAACAATTTTTTTACAATTTGAAAATTTGATTGAATGGCACTTTGTTTATTTGGCATTTCGTTAAATTAACCAAAATTTTATACAAGAACTTCTAATTATTTAGTAATATTTCTGGTAAGTAAAAATTTTAAGGTCAAATAAATGTTAAGATGTTTTTTTTCGATAAAAAAATTGTTCACTTTATGACTTCTAAACCTAATTTTATAGATTATGATGAAAAATTGTGGTAAAACGATTAAAATACAGGTTTCATACATAATTACTTAAATAATTTAGTATTTTAAACTAAAAATTATAATTGGTAAACAGTGACTGATTTAAATAAGGCATGTGTGCAAATTTTGAATTGTAAATAGCTGTTCTCTGTCCTTTTTCAATTTACAAGAAAATAGAGGAAAATTGAGTGAAGAAAAGTTTAAAATATTGACAGTAGAGAGGAAACACGTCAATACATAATCAAAATGTGTTACATGTATGACACATAGTAAAATGTAGTTAATTTTTATTTTCTAAGAGAAAGACCTATCTGTGCACGTATGTTATTCATATTTCAATCAGAGAAATATTTTTTCAGATCTACTCATCTGCAACTATTTCTTTACATAATATACTAATTTTAATAGAAGTAGTGTACAGTAAAAAAAAGTGAAAATTTTTAAACAACAAAATAAAAATAGAGGTTGGCATCCAAAGCACGAAAGGGGTAAAGCTCCATTAATGTATATTTATACTAGTAGAGCTACGCTTCCTACGAGCTCCGCGCACAAACCTACCATTTCTAGTTTAAAATTTATTAGTAAAGTTAAAACATTTCGTATTTTTTTTATTTTACAATCTTTTATTGAAAAGTAATCTCATCAAAAATAGTATCGCATTAAATTTTAAGATACAATTTTAAAACATAATTATTTTCGTTATTTTAGCCATACTTTAGATAAGATAATTATTTATTATAAACTGGTTTTTGCACGCTCTGCATGCCATCACTATTACAAAAGAGTTATGTGAAGTAGATTAAAAATACCATATGTACTATATCAAAGGATTTAAACGTTTTTTAATTCGATATACTATTCAGACTTTTCACCTCATTAGCTACCTTTGTTTGAAAAGTTTTTATTTACAATCAAATTTATTGTAATTTTGACAGAAACTAATAAGATAGAAGAAACACCAATAAAAGTGATTGTACAGTGGCGGTAAGGTGTTCGCAAGTATAAAAAATAACAGTATCTAAGAAAAAATCTCACTTGTTCCTATCGTAAAGTCATCTTGCAAAAAATTAGTTAAATTCAAAGGCAGCTGTTGGGTTAAGTTTACCACAACCATCCTATCATAAATAATGTTTATCATTTTTACCTTTCTTTAACATATTTTCATTAAAAAAGAATTACCATAACATTATCTCGAAATATTCAAAGTTTTGAAACTCGGGTTGGGGCTGTAAATTGGAAGTAGGGGCGTGGGGGGGGGGGCGCACAAATTATATTGGGTTACAGAGAAATAAAAATTATTTTCCCTTGTATTGTGGGGGAGTTGAAGGAAGGTTGTGGAGGGGCTGTAAACCCTTACTCACTATATGTCTATATGTCTCTGAAGTACCATTATTTGTTTAACTCAATTGAATTTTTACATTTCAAATCTCTTTCTGGTCCATGTCTACTTTACCCAAATATAAAATTCTTGATTACTTGAGGACTTTATTAAGCAAAAGACAGAATTCAGGAGGGGGTATAATTTAATAGACAAATACAATTAAGCTATTGAAACAATAATTCATTCTGTTAATTTAATATTGTGACATTTCATGTGTCGTTTTAACCCATCTGTTCGTTTATAACCCTTTCCACATTTTTCACATATTTTTTTTTCATGGTTTATACGAATTAACATATGCCTGTTTAAATGTGACGATCTTTGAAGTTACATATTTTTGAATTACTGAAAAATTTCTTGCTAAACAATATTTTCAATTTCTGATTTATTCTCAGATTCAAATTGAATAAAAATTCTTTTTAGATTCTTACATCTTGATAAAGCAACGTATAATTGTCCGTGAGAGAATAAAGTTTTTTTGATATACAATCCTAAGGAATTAAAACTCTGTCCATGTGATTTGTTGATAAACATAGAAGATGCTAATACAAAGGGAAACTGTTTTCTATATAATACAAAAGGTAATAATGATGAGGTGCCAGTATTTGATGTTATTTTAGGAGTATAAGCTCTGCTTCCTTTATTTTCTACCCTTATTATTTCTGCTTCTATATTATACTTAAATAATTTTGTTATTTTTAATCTTGTGCCATTTCAAAGACCGTCTGATATAAAGAACCCCCTTACCCTCTCATAAATAACGAAAAATTCTGTTGTTTCTTACGCCATTTATATGAAGTTAAATTTTAAGTTGTTAAAACAATTTATTATCTTTTTTACTTTAAAACTCATGAGTCACATTTTTAAATTCCAGTTAAATTATGAAAAAAATTATTGAGTACCACAGAATATTCTTTTCATTTTAAGTTTATGTAGAGTCGTAAATATGTCGAAGTTATTCAGTGCAGGGCTTACCTAGTGCATAATTTGTTCAACGAAGAAATCAACCTAGTTTTTTTATTTATAAAGAGTTTTAAGATAAATTGTTGGCTCTTACTCATAAGTTTTATTTTTTAAATGATATTAGTTAAGTATTAATGCCAATACATTTGCTATCTTNAGTTATTTACAAAGAAATTTCCACATCCCCTTCTACCTCCTAGCTACCTCCTTTGGCCACCCAGCTACTTCTCAAAATCGGTCAAAATTTGTTTCATTTCTCCGTAAAATTAACCTAGCACTAAATGAATTAAAGATAGCCTTCTAAAACTCTTCTCATCCCCCAACGACTCCTCTTAAATCATATTCATGCCCCTCGTACCCCTTCAAAAAAAATTATCCATC